CCTGGCTGTATTACCAGACATTGTGCTGCTTCCTAAGCACTGGAGAGAAACAGGGGTGGCTGATAAGGTAGCTTAAGGATGTACTGGAAAAAGAAACTGGAAATTTGGGTTATAGATTCAAAATGAACCCCCAGAGAGTCTGTAAAAGGGAGGTTGCAAATGGCATTGAACAGAGTCCCAAGAGGTAAAGGTGTGCTCATTTTAGGTCAGCTTTCCCTGCACTTTTCCTTTTCAGAAGGATTTTACTTTCAGAGTTTTTTGCAGATGAAAGCAGTCACTGAATGGACAGTAATGTCACTCTAGAAGAGAGAGGGAAAAAAAAAAACAAAAAAGAGAAAGCGGCATAAAAGTAGAAAGGCTGTGACCAGCTCCGTGAGGATGTGTTTAGTGAAAGCAAGCAATAAGGCAATTAGTTCTGGGAGAGGCTCGTTTCCTAAACGAGGAGAAATCTGCACAGGCAGATCTGCACTGTGCTTCTGTGAAGTCAAACAGTGGATTTTGTTCTGCATCTTTTCACGGAAACAGTGGTGAGATGAAAAGGAGACTGAGAGCTGCTCTGTGAGAAACAGATTTAATTAAGAAAGGGCAGGGTAGCTAGTTTTACATCTTCATCCTTAAGGCCTTTTTCAGGAGGAAAAAAAAAAAAAAAAAAAGCTTATCTGAGCAAAAGGGTTAGGTTTGAGAAAACCATGACCCAAAGCACATTTTGAAGAATTAAATTCCTGTCCGTTGGCTTCAGCAGTCGCTAAGTAAAAATGTTGCATGACTAGTCACTCCATTTCCGTAGATTTCTGTGCGTCCTTGGAGACTTGCATGTGTTGGTTAACGCTAGGAGACCACAGGTTAGCGTTGTTGATGTAGCCACCTCACAGGGAGCACTTAATTATCAATGGTTAAATATTTAGACTTTCCAAGTGTGATGCTCTGTGTACTGCAAATGAGGCAGCTGTTTTTGTGGCTAAGTAACATATATCTGCACCTGTGCATGTTTCAACTACCTCTCCTTTTGCTGGCTGAGACTGGTATCCTCACGCCTATGTGGGGCCATCTGAAGAAGTCAGCTTCTCTGAGCACAGAAAATCCTATGTGCAAGGACATAATAAAGCCAAACAATTTTAATACAGGTAATGGCTGACTTTACAGTATTATATATACATATGTTTATATATTGCATGTAGCACTGGCTTCCAAAAAATCCCTGCTTGTTCTGACAGATGCCAAAACTGGCAAATTCGTTTTGAGGAGTGTGTGCATCATCTGTCAAGCTGCGTAAGTCTCTCCTCTTTTCACCAAGATCATCAAAAAGAAGACTGATGATTTACAGTTTGACACTAAATGCAGCATTGAGACCACCAGCCATTTGCAAACCTCTCCCAAAATTACATGCTTCAGATCGGATGGAAATATTAGAAATTGAAATGCGAAAGCAGAACTAAAACAAAAATCTATATGTAACTACCCCCCTCATTACTTTCTAGGTAAAAATTTTCAGTTTATTCCCCCCTTGTTTAGTCCTTTCTAGAGAGAAAACTAAAATAAAATCCTTAATTAAAAACATCAATCTCGTCATTATAAAACTTGCCTTTTTTGGTGACAAATGGAGACAGGTATAAAGTCCTTCTAAACTTGAAGAAGGAACAGGAGACTAGAATGTTATTAACTGTTTTATTTTTTGGCAGAAACTCAATAGGGTCCCAAAATAGAGAGTGGATCTACATGGATATACATGGTTATATGTGTGTGTATGTTCATATATATATGCAGTATCATTTCTATTTCACTGTAAAATCCTTTAAGATTTTTTTCATATTAAACAATAGGTAATATTTACTACCTTGCTTTAATCTTCTCTCACTTTACAAATGCTAGGGAATTTAAATTTTATTATTGAAGGTTGTCTTTGGGATAGAAAACAGTCAAATGTCTGCGGAGGAAAGACAATTTGATGAAAATAGTTACAAGAATTCAAAAGCTGAGCGTTTTTCCCTCCATAAAAACAGAGACTATTGCAGGTGTCTGCTGTTTGCCCACTAAATCTCACACATCTTTCATTATATTTTAACTTCTTAGCTTAGCTTAACTTTTTTTTTTTTTCATTACAAACTGTGGGTCAACTTTGAAGATACATCAGTATCTGTGCTTGAAGGCATTTTGCATAATATATTTCCTGTTTTGCACTATTATCTCATTGTTCTTATTGAAAACGAATGAAACACATAAAACTACAAATGTGACTGTGGTATCTGTATCCAAAGAAGTTTGAAGTTGAAAAAGTGAAATGCTATCAAAATAATTCATTGTGCTCTGCAATCCTTATTCATTGGGAGATATTGTCCTGTGGCCCCAGGCACAAATCGTATCTGGTTTCAATAACCCAGGCCAATACCTGTTAATGTATTTGTTACAGCCTGTGATTTAACATTAATATAAAAATTCTTTATGATTCAGAAAAGCGTTAATTATAAAATCAACTCTAATCCAGGTAGAAATATTATGGCAAACAATTATCATGAGCTCTTGACATCTTTTTTATTTTTTCAGGTGGAGCTTCATTATAATGCATTTTCCATCACAGTGAGATTCACTTAGTGTGATTTACTACATATAAATCCCTAAAGATGAGATAGAAATGATATGGAAAAGAGCCAATTTGCTTGATTAACATTATCATAGTGTCTACAGTGAGGGAAAGCACAGGCTCCTTTACTGGAGGTTTAGAGCTGCGATGCAAAAACTCCAAGGAGGTCCTTAAAAATATTTAATGCAAACCGTATGTAATCTGGGCAGTTAGAAGTTGCATCATTGGGATTTTTTTTAGCCAGTAGAGATAATACAGAACAGTTTTATATGATGCTGTGTTATGAGAGGGTTACATAAAATGTCCTGTAATGAGGGAAATTTGGAAAGAATGAAAAATGAGGAGCATGTTCTTCCTGTTTTTCAGGTGGGGAAATACTTTTTTTCCTAATGTAACAATGTCGTATGGCCATTCAGGTTTGAAGGACTAATATAACACTGTCTGCCAAAATGCACATTAATGTACTCCGAGTAGATTCTTTCAGCAGGGATGGCTGAGGCCCGAAGTGTGTAATTTCTCCACCCCCAAAATCATAGAATCATAGAATGCTTAAGGTTGGAAGGGACCTCTAGAGATCATCTAGTCCAACCCCCCTGCACACGCAGGGTCGCCTAGAGCACGTGGCATAGGATGCTCTGAAAGATGTTGTATCATAGTTATATATGTATGGAATATAGTTATATGTTATAGAATATTATATAGCTATGTTACATTTTGATTCTGAAGTCCTTTTCATGTTGTCTCTTGATATAAAACTTAATGCATACCAAAGTACTATATAATTCCTCCATTCTTGTCTGCTACTTTTTTTTTTCCTCACCTATTTCTCCTATTTGTTCTAATTTAAAGACTGACTCTAGAGAAAACAGCATTTGCGGCCACCCTATTTCATAGCTAACAGAAATAATGATATATGTCAACTATAAGCATATATTGGATTTTATTTTACTTGTTTTGCTTTATTTGCTTACCCCTCTTTATTGCTGGGTAGCAATGCGAACCTACCCGACTGTCATGAATGTATTTCACGCTCATTGCCAACTACTAGCCATCATTTTTGCAGCATCCAGCCCTTTTTGTGCACAAAGCCCTCCTGCAATGGAAAAACTGAACTGGGTGCAATATAAAATGTCAAAAATTTGATCTTCAGCTGAAATATTTTGGGTGGGAAATATGAAATATGTTGGTTAGAAAGTGGAGTATGCCATATGTTAGCGTTTACTTTTTAATTTTAGGGTTTTTTTTTTTCTTTTAGAACTCCTTTTATTACTTTAGTGAATCTGCAGCAATTCTGAAGCTGGCAGAATTATTCTGTGGTTATAGGAGCATAACGGTGCTTTGGTGGCCTGGGCCCGGCAGGAATGGGGCGCGTATTTTGGATGAAGGGAAGCCTAGCCTATATACAAAGCAAACACTCAGTGCATTTTATATATATGATATATATATATTTATATGGAGTCATACAAAGAAGAGGAGAAAGATGGAAGACGTCTATTTAACCCGAGCTGCAAGAAGTAACATTTCCATAGGAGGTTTTATTTGCCCGCACGCTGGTCCCTGAGGGAAATTGAACCACATAAACTTTTAAATACTTGTTACTCCCTTTCCATACATATTTCTCAACCAAAAGCCCATTTATAAACTGCAGTCTGCTCTGGGGCAGTATAGAGAAGCTGCAGGTTCCTCCTTCCTGCAGCAGCATCTGCTGTTGTCATGGGCCAGAAATTGCCTTTAAGTGCTATTACCCCCAAAGTTTTGGGGCGTTTTTCAATTTTTTGAGGTATTTTAAGAGGAGAAAATGACTAAATAAAAATCCGTAGGCCTTGCTGTCTCAAGGCTGCGTCAGCACTTGAACTGCAGTGTTCAAAGTGGATGTGAGAACTTTTTGATATTTAATAAATGTTAATTTAGTAACTTTTTGATATTTTAGGAGACAGGAGGTTGTTCTGGTGGTTTTGCCCTTTGCTGCTTCTCTCATGTGTAATGAAAAGCCAGTTTCTAGACACACAAAATAGAGTCTTTGCTCACATATTCTCAAGAAACCTCAAGAATATCTCTAGATTCCCTAAGGTGAACAGCAGCATCACTTCCGGCTGTGGGAAAACACACAGCAATGTTTAAGTAAAATAGGAAAATCTTCAGTTTTGCCTCATTTTGCCTCATATTTACCTCATATAATCTTTAGTTTTACCTCATTTTACCTCATATTTGCCTCATATTACCTCATTTTCTTGTGGCATCTATCAGTTTATGCAGCTGTTAAACTGAAGCACAAATAATTCTCTCATTTCGTTTCCTCTTGCCGGCAGCCATCTATGGCTCGTAACGAAGTCGAGCACCGTTTTTCCTAGCAGAAACGGGCCCCAGCAGGGAATGCTTCCCGTTGGAGAGCTCACGCGTTGCCCTGCGTGTGTCGTTGCAGATGCTGCACAACAAGCACGTGATGGTGCGGGTGGGAGGAGGCTGGGAGACCTTCGCCGGTTACCTGCTCAAACACGACCCGTGCCGCATGCTGCAGATCTCGCGCGTGGACGGGAAAACGTCGCCCGTGCAGAGCAAATCCCCGACCCTGAGGGACATGAACCCGGACAACTACCTTGTTGTGTCGGCCCATTACAAAACCAAGAAGGAGATCAAGTGAAAGAAGCTCCTCACGGGATCGGGACTTGGTGTATGTAGGTCCAGGGTGTTTTCTCAAGTGTAGTAAACTTAGTTTAAGCTTTAAAAGGACTTGGGAAACTGTAAGACAGACTGAAAACGGCAACCCTGTTTGAAGATCTTTGAGTTGTAGAGCTATTTATTGCCAGTTACTGTGCCTTTTATAGCTAATTACCCTTGGTAGGCTAATTACTACAATCAGATAAGAAATAGACATATATTTTTTAGCCAAATTATTACTCTTTAATATGTGAATGTATGCTTAGAATTATGTAAAGGAATGGATCATGTTAATGGAAGAAAGTACACAGTATATTTGTATGAAAATCTTATGACATTGAATCCTTGACTGGTAGCCTAGTTGAAAAGTATCCATGCAGGTAGAGAAAGAAGCATTTGCGGGAATTATTTGGCAATTTTGGTAATGAGACGAAATGAGAGTTGTCTGTTTTTACGGGACAGCCTACACAGCCTTTCTGTCACCTGCATGGGAGCTTCAGCAGATGCGAGTCCTTCCTGCCTCAGAAAACACGATGCTCTTCTCGGATCGGAGCCTTTTCTGCCCTCCCTTTTTTTTCCCCCAATTCATTTAGTGACGCCAAATGCAAAATCCACGTTACCTTGTCAGCAGAGTGAGTCATGCTCCTGAAAAATCATTCGCACACCTCCAAAAGGAGCTAAAGGCAGACGGGGGCTTGGCTCGGGGTTTTGGCTCTTTTTCTTTGTCTGTACTTGGTAATTTATGTGCCTTGTAATGTCCTAGGTTTTTTTAATTTTTTTTAATATAGAATTATTTGACTGACTGTATAAATTTGAGCAAAACTTGGTGGTTTTATTAGCAATGAAATAAACTTTTTTTAAAATACTCCTGCCTATGGGAAGTCTTATTCTTGGTAATCGCTCGGCTGCTGATGGATGCCTGGAATACACGAGCACTTACTAGCCTGAGAGTAAGGGAATCAGTGCAGGCAGGAATTCATTTACTACATATAGCACAGACAACACGAGGATTTTGTAAAAAAAAATCAATTTTCTGTTGTGGGGAAAACAGGCAAGAACTGAAAAATATTCTTGAAATAATTCTTAAGAGTACCAGTTCTTTTGGGGGGTTGTTTGTTTGCTTGTAGTATATAACTTAAAATACGTAATATTTATAGTTTATATAGGCAGTATACAATTCTAAAAGTATTTTTAGATAGAAAAAAATGTGAGCTTTATTTCTTATTTTGGGAAATTTTCTAGAAAGAGTAAATAAATACTATAGCAGTAAATCCTATGAAAGACTGATTATTCATCAGAGCAGTATAATAAGGTGTGGAGAGTGGGAAACAAAGCCTATATAACATTAGCATAAAATGCAGCATAAAAATGCACAGAATCTAATAATTATAAGGAAAAAACCAGTATTCTTGGTTTTAATTTAATATTAAACATGAATAAATAATCCTGGCAAACCCAAAGCAAGGTCTCTTCTGAGACAGGGAATGAAGTCCTCAGAAGGTTAAACTTGCCCTGGAATAAGGGAGGAAGAGTGGTTGGAGCCTTCCTCATTACTGCATGACTCAGCTGACTGTGAGTATGGAGGGTATAAGAAATTCCTGCAGATTCATACCAAAAAAAAAAAAAAGTATACAGAACTCAACTGCTGCTAGAATCTACTTGAATCTCTCCATAAATCTCTAGGAAAAGGGACATGGAAGCTCTTGCTGGCTGTGGGAAAAAAACAGCTGTGCCAACCAGACCGCATGTAAAAATGATTACCATGCAATATCAAATGGGCACCACCGTGCTGAAATTGGTTAGAATTGGTTAGGAATGCATCTTGTGCTGCTTGTTACTGCTCCTTGCAGTTGGTAACTTCCATCAGCTGGCTGTGCATTAGCAAGAGCTTTTCTTCCAAGCAGGACTTATCCGTGCAAGCAATTTCTTATACTAATTACAGTGATAATTATGCATTCTACCTTTTATTTCCTGACCAATTGGAGATGAAAAGAGATGTAACCTCGCTCGGTGGCTCTTGGTTGATGACTAAAACACCCAGGCGTCAACATGTCCACATGGGAGGGTAGAGTGAGGTGAAGGTTTTGGCATCCCCAGGGTGTTGGGATGTCTGAGCACAGCCCTCATCTGCACAGGGGGGCTTAAGGAGCACAGATACACCTGTATAATTATGATTTTTAGCTAGTGATTTTATCCAGGCTGATGGCAAACCAGGTTATTTCCCTCCCTCTGGTTTTGTGGTAGGAGGAGGAGAGTGGGAAAAAGAGAATGCATTTGTTGGAAATATCTCAAGTGACAAAAGCCCAGAAGCCAAGGGCAACTTCGATATTTCTTCATGCAACACCTGCTGTGACGTGTGTGGGATGGAAATTCACATTCCAAAATAGTGCCTGGTGAGTTTTATTACATTTCAATGCATTTTCATTAGATTAAAAAAAAAAAAGACAAACATTCAGAGCAATACAGGGAACAGAACAAGTTCCAACAATCAAGTGAAACACGAGGTGTTCGTTAACTGCCACAGGCACAGCTTCGTAACCCGAATGTTATTAAATATTAACATTGAAAAGTCTGTTTTTAACCAGATTCTGAATGCTGGTTAGCTGTGTCAGCTGTGTGAGACACTATTGCAGGAGGCCAAATAAAACCTCTTTTTTTTTTAACCCAAAAAGTGCTTCTATAGCCCAAACGAGGGCAGGAATGGGGTCAGTGCCACCCGAAGGTCAAACAGCAGCATCCTCCTGCAGGGAGATGGGAACGCGCTTCCTCGTGCTGATCGCGCTGCAGCGAGTTTCACGCATCTCTTCAAGCCTGTGGTCACTGGTTTGGAGGCCCGGTTGTTACGCCACGATTCCGGTAGCAAAAACCAACGGCAGTTTCACACTTGGGAAAGGGATTAGGGAACATTCCCGGCCGCAGGAAGAAAGCGACAAGAGCTTCTGGCATTTGGCAAATATTACCGCGCTGTAACCAACCCACCCAGATAGTACAGACACTTCAGGAAAACAACCATCCAAGAGATGATGTAATAGTGTTTTACTGTTGGTTTGGTTTTTTCCCCCCAAATCCTTGGAAGTGCCGCACTGCCCTCTTGTGTTACAAAGGAGAACTATCAATAGAGAGCATTTTTAATTCTGTTTAACTTCCAGTATACACTATAAATACAGGCTCAAAAGAAATTCACATCTGAAAATGAGAACAACAGTTAGACTCAATAAAACATTTTTCTCAAGGTAGGCGTACAGGGTTTATATAAAGGTTGCTATTATTATTAAATAGTGTCACAAAATGCTTCCACTTTTTAACAGCCATCATTAATCTCCTTTCCTTTAAAAAAGGCACTAAATCCATAAGCAGTTCAAAAGTCATTAAGGAACTGAAATGCTGTCATCTATATATTTGAACATACAACAGTTTTATATATGAGGACACAAAAGTTTTAATTGCACAGCTTGAAATCAAGTGTCATAAACAAGAATTCTTCTGAAAAACACTCAGTTTGGTTAGAGAGACAGACATACATCAGCTGACAAGATGATCTACACTGACTGCTCCAGGTAAGGAGGCCACGTACGTGGGAGAGAGATTATCTCCCTCCCTGCCAGGGAAGCAATAAAACATGCACGGAAAACAAACATTGGCCAGAACTTTGAGTTCAGAGGCTGGAGTCCTTTATTAGGACTTAATAGTCCTACTCTGCTCTTCCACCACCTGCCCTCCTCTGCTGGCAAAGTCCTGCTGAGTCTTCGGATGCAAACAGCAAAAGCTACGTGAACAAGTGCTGCTCAGCTGCACAAACGGGCACGTTTTTGGCAGTAAACATCAATTCTCTTCTCTTCAGGAGTTGAGCTCTTTATCCAACCTGCCACTAACGGGAAAACAAAACAAAACAACCCCACAGGGTTATATGAAGGCATAAAAAACCCAAAAATGCCGCTTTATTAAGGCAGTTGCACCCCAGTAACTTGCTTCTCTTTTAAACTTACTCTCAGTCCTCCTTCTCCTCCGGAACCTGAAGCTGCCATTCTTTTTTCTATTTCTTCCTGCTTCTTTTTCTTTTGCTCTACAGAATAAGCATTCTTAATACCACGAGAGGAAGCCTAGGAGAGAAAGATATTTGAGGAAGATCGGTTAATTATTTTTTGGACAGAAACCAAACTGCCACTCTTCGCAACACCATCTTGTGAATTTCTGTTTTCCAGAAAAAAAAAATGAAGCAGCAAGTAAAGCTACCGTTACATAAAACTGGGGCTTTCAGGGTATTTCCTTCATAAACTTTTGGTTCTGTAGCTACGTAAGGATGTTTTTATTTCATTCGGTTAATTTATCTGGGTAAACATACTTGAATGCAATTAAGTGCACGTGGTTCATATCTAAGGTGTAGAGTCAGAGCTTCCCATCCCAAAATTCCCACTAATTTTTATATATTTTTTATGTTTTTTTTCTTTTCCCAGTGTCAGCGGCTTCCCATTCCTGTCCTTACATTAGTATTAACTGGGAAGAGCGATCCAGGATGAACCTAGGCTGTTCCATCATCCACTCGACTTCTCCATACCCCCCTTATCAAATGGCTGCCCGGGGGTAGGACACATCTGATGGGGACTGTAGTGAGGTTTTCTGTGAAAAACATTCAATATATGGATGGGGAAAGGTCACAAGCTCTGCAGTTACTGGAGAAATCAATGGGAATTTTACATGCATGAGAAAAACACAGTCCCATCCTTAATGCTAAACCAGGCTGTGGGAAGAAAAAAAAAAAGTCTTTAAATCCTCATCTGTGACAAACATCCTAAGTGAAAATCTACCCTTCAAACTCCATATGGGTGTGAGTTATGTAGATCACAAGTACAATCCACCTTAAGCTGAGAAGGTGAAAATCATCCCTGGACAGCAGTAACTCACTGAGACCCCATGGTTTCTAGCTTTTACGCATCTGATCACTGGGGTTTTGGGGAAGAGACAAATACAAAATGCTTTTAATACATACCCTGATACAGAATGGGGAGTTATTACAGGCCTTCAGTCAGCCCCTGGGATGGCCAGTCACTAAATCCCACTAGAATCAGGCCTACACAGCCCTCATCAATAAGCAGCAACTTTTAATTCAACATATACAAATAACACTCAAATAACACGTTCCTCTCTCTTCACAGGACAGTAAATCCTCTGCCTAGCCACTATAAAGCTTTTTTTCCCCATCAAAGTAAACTCAACTGTCTTGAAACTGTACTCAAACACTAACTCAGGAAATCTGCATTAAATAAATGCATAAGTATGCATAAGATATGACTACACTGGAAACTTTAACCATGGCCCACAACCCACATGTACCATCAAGCCACATTCCTGCATAAGTCCTGGCTATTTTCAACAACAACAAAGTTGTCACCTCCACCTAAGTCAATGGCATTTTATCCATCATTACCTCCATCTGCCTCTTCTCAGCAGCTTCTGCAAGCTGTCGTCTTTTGATTTCCTAAATGGCAAGTATAAGATGGTCAAATTCTTAAATTAACAGTTCGAACATTTCTTTTTTAATAAAACCATAATGTGGTGGAAGAACAGGTGCTGACGTTACCCGTGGGCAAAATGCTGCCAGCGCTCTGGGCCCTGCTGCCCATGCGATGCCTCCACCCCAGAGCATAAAATAAAATAAAATAAAATAAAGGGGCACGAAGGGAAGCAGGCTTTTTGTGGATATTGGAAAGACTAGGGTGGCAGAGTGGGATGTGTTCGGCTTTCCTCCTCCAACCCATCAAAGTGAGGGATTCAAAAGCATGGGAAAGAGGGATTTTTTTTTTTTTTTAATCTTTAAAAACTACTTCGTTTACGAAGCTACCATAGCGGGATTTCAGGAGATCTCGCGGTACGAGAGCGCGTTAGAAACATCACTGTCTGTGGGACAGGAAAGCGCTTTTTCACCCCCACCCGTCCGCGTTTTGGGGCTAAAAACGGGCGTTATCGGTTACAGGCCCGGCCGCGCGGGTGCCCTTTAC